TATTTTAAAGATTTTATTAATTTATTTGACAGAGAGAGAACACAAGCAGGGGGAGTGGGAGAGGGAAAAGCAAGCTTCCCACGGAGCAGGGAGCCCGATGCGGGGCTTGATCCCAGGACCCTGGGATCATGACCTGAGCCGAAGGCAGACGTTTAACGACTGAGCCACCCAGGCACCCCTTAAAGATTTTTTTTAGTAATCTCTACACCTGATGTTGGGCTTGACCTCACCACCCTGAGATCAAGAGTCCTATGTTCTCCCGACTGAGCCAGTGAGGCACCCTTGAACATTTTCTATTGCTTTGAAAATAAGTGATCTCTTGTCTCAAGGTATTGACGTACTTGGCGTGAGCTTTGTTATTTAGAGTGGTACAAGTGTGTGGGTCTGTATTCAAAAGGAGTTGTTTTGTGAAGGTCATGTGTAGCTGAGTAGCTTCATAGGTCCTGAGTTTACGATGATGACAGCCAGATGCTATTGGATAGGACCTTATCCAAGACTTGGTGGTCTTCACTGTATAAAAAACTTCTTATTGGGGCACCTGGGTGGCTCAGTCGGTTCAGCATCCAACTCTTGATTTTGGCTCAGGTCATGATCTCAGGGTTGTGGGATCGAGCCCCACGTGAGGCTCTGCACTGGGCATGCAGCCTGCTTAAGATTCTCTCCTTCCCTCTCTATCTGCCCCTCACCCCACTTCTCCCCCCTTCTCTTAAAAAAAAAAAAAAAGCTTCTTATCAAAGCAAAGTTAGCAGAAATATTTGTACTTCTTTTTGTTTCTCTGGATAATTTGTAATAATTTTGAAAATTTCAGCACTGTTTTCTTGGTTCTTTAGTCTTTAATTCTACTAGCAGGTTTTATATGATGTTGAGCTTCCTAGAAGGACATTAAGTAAGTTACACCTTCTCATAGCCTCTGTGTAGGTCTAACATTGAATCATGCAAACACTAGATTGAGACTACAGGACAGAAAACCAAATCTGAAAAAAACAAAATAAGGCTGTTTATAAAAGTTCATTCGTTCATCTGAAATGTTGAGTTTGTAGGCTTTTGAAGAAAAGTATTTGAAACATAGATGCTAGACCCATAATAATCTATCTTGGACAAATGACAGAAGTAATTCTGTGAATTTTATTTGGTCTAATGAAAGCTAGAAAATGTAGTAAGTAACCTGGAGACAACATATCAGAGTAAAAAAAGATATAACTCACTACAAAAATCCAAATTGCAAATATATGTTGAGGCTTAAGGATAAATCACAACACTTTTCTCCTGGTTTGATTTATGAGCAACAAAAGGGTTCATAGTGGGAATGGAATTTATGCTTTTGTATTGAGGTGTTTAAGTGATTAAGAGCTTTTTGTTTGATATATATTTAGGATTTGTGACCAAATAGTTCAGGATGTAACCTCTTGTGCAGCAGTTTGAAACAGGTCAGAGCTGTTTCTCCTTCTCTCCCCAAAGGTAGATGGGCTGTCTTGGTCATCTGTTTTTAAGAATTTGCCCCTTGCTTGCTGAAAGACTTGTGGTACCTTTGTCCCCTAGAATACTAAGGATATATGTAGTTCCTCTATCTCTTCTTGACTGTACCGGAATTCAAATAAGATTGGGGAAAGAGAAGGGGTGTGAGAAGAAGAAGAGGGGCATGGGGAGTGGTGAGATGAGGAAGTATTGGCGGGGGAGGGAGAAGGACAGATTTTTCTGAGGATCAGGTGTCTCTGGCAGCTCTGAAGAGTTTCCTCCTGCCTCTGTACTTGCCTTATATAGGCCCTAGTAGTTTCTTGGACATTTTGCTTTCCTGTTTGGCCCAAAGGAATTTGGTGAAGACACTTCCTCTGTGTCCCTAATATAGTGGGGCATGTGCCCTACTTAGCAGGTGCTATGCCTGGAGATCCCAGGCCAGGCTAAGGGTGAAAGTCTAAATAGCTCACGGGGCGCTATACCTCAGGGCAGTACCACACTGCTGAGAGATGTGCAGGATTCCTCGCTGTTTTTGTGGGGTGAGGCTGAACTCCTGAGTGGATTGCTAGACCTCTGGGGAAGGTTACCCCTCGGCATTGCCTCCGCAAGTGGTAGTGCCATTTAAGATGGACAGCATAGGCTTTGGGCCGGGGTTTTAGGACTGAAAGACCAAGAAAACCAAGACAAAGCCAGAGTAAAGAACGAAAACAAATTTTTAACGGTTCAGTGTTCTGGTGTATCCGTGGGTGGACATTCTCTCTTATCCATTCATTTTTCTTCAACAATTTTTCAAGTACCTGCTTTATGTCACAGAACCAGAGATGTCTCCGCCACGGCCTGTGTGTCTTGAGCTTGAAGACAGAGCCTGGTTCTGGGCACTTTGGTCGCGTGCTTTCTTTGACCCACTTCAACAAGCAGTTTGTTGACTCTTGGGTTCCAAGTCTTTGACACCTGTTTAGAGTCTTAAGTAGGCTTGTTGAAGTTCACTCTTGGGAAGCTTTCTCTAGCCAAGTTTTTCAGGTTTACAAAAACCTCCTGAAGTCACCTCAGGTGTCTCCCTCACATACTGTTATCCTCCTTTTCCTTCTCCCTTCCTTCTCCCTTACTGTGTGTATGGACAGTGGGTGTCTGCAGTGGGAGTGGGAGTGGCGGTGAGATTCCATCTTCTGAGCTTAGCTGCATTTGTTACTGGAAACTCACGACCCCCGGGCTTGACTGTGTCCCTGCTTTTGAAAGCAAGTCTGCCTTTGCTGAGTTTATCCCCTTTACCTTGAGGGCCTGTCATCGCCACAGGCATTTTCAGGAAAGCCAGTCACCTGAAACCGGTGGAGAGCTCTGAACATGGGCCTTTAGAGGGTTCTCTCTCTGTGATTCTTTCCATTTCAGAATATCCTCTGTCTGGTACCTAGTGGGCACTCGGACATACATTACACGAACGAATGGGTGACACCCTAACCCCGTCATCTAACCAAACCAACCAGACGAGTGACAGCTTTACACAGAGCACTCTCAGGGAAGCAAAACACCCAGACTCCAATACCTTAGAAATAAAACACTGTGACACGAGCTGTTCTGTACCCTGGACAAAATCTCTACATTTTAAACTTTGATTTGAAATTAAGGAATGTATAACTATGTCTGTTAGCTGTGAATTAAAAGCCCTCTGAAATACATAAATCTTTTTTCAATTTTCTTTTGAGGATTTGCTAGAATATTTGGATATCCCATAGGTATCGTTGGAAATAATGGAGTTCTCTTTTCTGAATCTGCAAAAAAGGCAAGTGGTGTTAAACATGTTTCAAGATTTTCTGTTTTAATTTAAACATAATTTTGCTTTGAAGGTCAAGTAATGAATGAAAGTTTATTACATAAAAACTTTGAAATATTTAAAAGCTTTAAAATATTTAACCAGATGCCTTAGTAGGCAGAACACTATGTGTACGTGCATGTGAACGTGTGTGTGTGTGTGTGTGTGTGTTAGTGCTTGAACAGTTTTATGGAGGTTTACATTAACCTGTTTTATCTAGAGCACTATTTTTATTTTATTTTTATTTATTTTTTTAAGGTTTTATTTATTTATTTGTCAGAGAGAGAGAGAGAGCGTGAGCACAAGCAGGGGGAGCAGTAGGTAGAGGGAGAAGCAGGCTCCCGGCTGAGCAAGGAGCCGGATGTGGGACTCAATCCCAGGACCCTGGGATTATGACCTGAGCCGAAGGCAGACGCTTAACCCAGTGAGCCACCCAGGCATCCCAACTAGAGCACTATTTAAAAAATCCAATGTTTTAAAAAGTTCTTATAAGATACATGAATTATAAATGCTGTGGATGACATGGACATAGCCTAAGACTTGAGAATCCTTGTCTTGGGAGTGTTTATATTCTGTTTTCTTTTAAAGTAGAAAACTGAGGAATTCTCTTATGGCGAGGCTCAGGAATTCCTGCTGATAAGCAGTTCTTCTCTTCGTTTCTTGAGTTTCACTTGCTGTTCAGAATGTTCGTGATTGATGTCACCCTACAGCTCTGTGCCAGTGATCACACGGGCGACTGCAGAACGCATGCGGTGCCAGCCCAGTCACACGTCCTGTTGGCCGTGGGTGCGCTCGGTGGTATTGTTATTAGCTAGTCACAGGGCGCTCTTTCTGACTGCTGACCCGAGTATGGTGTTTGCAGGATACATGAGGGACGCAGATTTCTTAACCCCCTCTTTATTTTATTTATTTATTTTTTTGAGATTTTATTTATTTGACAGAGAGAGAGAGTGACAGCAGGAACACAAGCAGGGGGAGTTGGGAGAGGGAGAAGCCAGCTTCCCGCAGAGCGGGGAGCCCGACGCGGGGCTCGATCCCAGGACCCTGGGATCATGACTCAAGCCAAAGGCAGACACTTAACGACTGAGCCACCCAGGCGCCCCTTAACCCCCTCTTTAAAAATATTATCTTCTTTGCTCTTAGGGGGCTCACTTCATCCAGATATGCTGCCAAAGGAATATTCCTCTGCTGTTCCTTCAAAACATTACCGGTAAGAAAATAGCTTAATCAGTCTTGTTGCATTATTCCAGAGCCTCATTGTCCAGTATGACTCCAGTATTGGACAGTGTAGACCTAGAACACTTCAGTCATAGCAGAAAGTTCTATCGGATACTCTTTGTAGAGTCTCTTTTAGGCTTAACCCTAATATATGAGAAGTTTATCCATATTTGGATAAAGCAGTTTCTGAGTTACCCGTATCACCGTCAGACGGCTTCCCTTTCCCCGTCCACACGCATACCTACCCCTCTAGCAGCAGCAGGGCTGTGTTCTCTACCAGGAACACTCTGATCTCACTCTGAGGGCGTTGTCTCTCCCATCGTCTCTGAGCTAACACTTTGTTTTCCTTAAAGGACTTCATGCACATTCTGTGGTTCACCCTTTGCCTCATCTTTTCTTGTGTAGTTAATTCTGCCTGAAGCGACATATTATAAAAGGTCTACGCACATCCTGAACAGTAGTCTGGGGATTTGAGTTTAGATTCCAAAGAATGGTGTGATCAATATCACCTCTCTGGATTTCATGTTTCACAAATGATCTTAATAGGGTGGATGAAATGATTTGTAAGGTTTTCTGGTTGTAGATTTCTTTTTCTTAGAATTCTAGGATTCTATTATTTATATTGTATGTTGCACTTAGATATGTTGGTTAGCTGAAAGAGCGCCCCCCCCCAATCTTCTAAGTGATCTGTGGTTATCTCAGGGTCAAAGGAAGGAGGGCTCTTAATTAGTTGTTAGAATCAGGCAAGTCTTCACAAGAAAAAGGAGCTTGGCTCATGGTGGTAAGCAGGGCTTTAAATAGTCCTGGTGCTAAAACATCTTTATCTGGTGCTGGTCTTAAGTTTATGATACTTGGTTAGATGAGTTTTGAGAGGCATTCTATCCAGACGGAAGCCTGAGGGGGTCCTATGTGGCAAACCTGGTAATAGGGCAAATAAAAAGGATTCTGAGGCTTCACGAGTCCAGGAACCTTGTTTCTAATAATGGTTCATGGTTTCTTAACCACTAGTAAAGTAAACCTTCTTCCTGGAAGATATACCTACGTTTTTGTTCTTTGGTATTGAGTTGGGTTGGGGGCAGAGGGCAGAGGTTGAGTTTGGTTTTGGAACCTTGCATTTGAGATACTTGTGTGACACTCATGGAGATGACATATATGCAGATGGCAGTTGAATAAATCTTGAGCACAGAAGACATGTGTTAGCTGCAGGTGAGAATGTAGGCGTCCTCAGAATAGGTAGATGTTATTTGAAGCTGTGGGAAGAGATGAGAACACCCCTAGGGAAGAGAAGAGGGCTCAGGGACAGTCTTTGAGTAACTCTGATTTCTTCCACAGAGGTGAGAGTAGAGGAAGGAAGGGAGCACGAAGATGTTGGTTTTTTTTTTTTTTAACTTTTTGAGGAAGCTCCATACT